GGAAAGGACCAAAGATCATCCAGTTCCAGCCCCTGCCATGGGCAGGGATGCCTCACACTGGACCGTGTCTCCCAGGGCTCTGTCCAACCTGGCCATGAGCACTGCCAGCAGTGGTTCTCTGGACAACCTGTTCCAGTGCCTCAGCACCCTCACAGAGAAGAACTTCTTGCTGTATCTAAGCTGAACTTCCCCTGTTTCAGTTTGAACCCATCACCCCTTGTCCTATCACTACAGCCCCCATGCCCCAGCAGCAAGCTCAGGACCAGTCTAGCACTGAGGTTACTCCAGCCTCACCACGTCGGGGTTGAGCTTGCCCTTGCCCTTGCCCTTGCTGCTGGAGGACTGTCCACGTTGATCCACGCCATAGATAGCACAGAGTGACCCCGGGGCAGCCTGCACCTTCATGTGGAGCTGGGAGCCCACCACAGCCCTCTGCTCCGAGAAGGACAGGTTCACCTGGAGAGAAGGGAAGCCTTTGGGTTAGGGGAGAGGGGAGCTGGTCCCAGGCAGCTGGGCACCATCCCAGGGGACTGAGCTCAAAGCCGGGGGATGCTCTGCAGCAGCAACAGGGGCAGGAGAGGAAGGAAACCCCTCCCTGAAAGACGAGCCTGGGCCCAGCTGGTTGCAGGGGGTGAGGAAGGGCTCAGTGCCCCCATCTCCCCTCCGAGCCCAGCAGCTTCTTCTCACCTCGCTGGGGAAGCACTTGGCCACCTTGAGCTTGGTGCTGTCGGCCACCACCTCGCTGCTGGGCAGCACCACGTAGCCCAGCACCTTGGCTGCGGGCACCAGCTCGAGGCCGATGGGCAGCTCCAGGGAGAAGGAGCCGCTGAGCCCTGGACAGTGCAAAGGGAGGGGAGTGAGGAGCAGGCACGGAGCAGAGCCCTGCACAGCCCCACGTGCCCCAGGACCCACCGGCATCTGCAGGCAGCTCCTTCCTGAGCACGGTGGCGATGGTCCCCTTGGCCAGGACCTGAAGAGGAGGAGGTGGGGATAACAGAACCTGTGCTGGGTGGGGAAGCGGCACCAGGAGATGAGGGGAGGCTGCGGAGGATGCTCAGGGACAGACTATTAGACCAACATGGGATGGAAATAGTGCCCCAGCACCTGACACCTCCAGAGTCCATCCCTGAGTCCAGGAGTACCTGCCCAGGGCTGGCTGGAAACGAACTCTGCTGGAGGGGAAGATCCTCCTCCCCTGAGCCCTGCCTCTCCTGCAGCTTCCCCTCTCTCCCCAGGTTGAAGGCTCACCAGTAAGACCACATCCAGGCTCTGCTGCTTGTTCCCCATGGCCTTCTCATCAAGCACGTAATCCACGCTGAGCTGCAGGGGCTGGCCGCAGGGCAGCTCCTTTTTCACCCTGTGTATCTTCAGGAAACTTGTGGTGCCCACAGAGGCGGCATACACGTGGCGAGGAGCACTTTTGTAGCTGCGATGCTCCAGGTTTTCATCCTCAGAGGCTGCAGTTTTGACCTCACCCTGAAGGGTGGAAATTGAGGCTGTCAATGGCGAAGATCAGCTCAGCAGCAGAGCTCAGTAGGGGTTGAAAGCCACCCTGTGACTGCCACCCTCTTTGCTGTGACATCCCTGCAGGAGCATGCAAAGAAACACAATCCAGGTGTGCTCGGCACCCAAAAGCGTAGAGCTGCGTGCCATCATGGGGCTTGTCCAAAGGACACTCGAAGGGGATGGCAAGAGGAGGCAGGGATCTATATGCTGATGAAGCATCCCAGAACTACCTGATCTTGTGCCCAAGTGGTGAAGGTGGAAAGGATCCTGAATTTGGCAGTGAAGAATGAGAACAGTAAGGCAGAGAGAAGGAATTAGAGGGAGAACATTACAGAATGCACCGATAGTGGGAGTGGAGCCTTTTCCCAGCGCAGCAGGCAGGAAGGGTGCTGAGATCTGTAGGGTTTGACTGGCAGGAAGGCATGAAACAGGGTTAATACACACATGGAGCTCTTCGCCGTGGGATGCTCTGGGTGCACAAAGACCAAATGTGGTCAAGGAGAGGCCGGGAGTTTTGGTGTAAAAAACTCTGTGATCTTTACCAAAATCCGGGTGTCTGAAGGGAAATGGGTCACTTACATGCATGGAGACCCTGTCCTTCCAACCAGAGGTGTCCAGCTCAAAGGAGGCTCTCCCCGACCCATCTGTGAGCAGGGTTTTAGTTTGGATTTCTCCAGCATTAACCATCACCAGGAGCTCCTTCTCTGTTATGGCAGAGCCGTTAAGTCCCTTCAGCAGCATCTGCACGAGGGGGAAAGGGGAGATGCTGGGTGGGATAACAGGGTTGGAGGTCTGAGGGAGTGGGATTGGGTGCAGCAGGAGCCCTGTAGGGCACAGGGACCACCCTCCATTACCGTCCCAGTGTAGGGGACCCCAGGCTTGTAGAATTCATCACTGCTTTCAAACGCGATGATGATCTCTTCATCCACAATCATACAGCTCTTGCTGGCTGCGCGCTGCATCCCTGCGGAGAGGAGAGGCACTGAGCACCATGCCCTTGTGATTCCCACCAGGAAAAATGGGTCAGAGAGTCTCAAGTGTGCAGCGTCACACGTTCTAATGTCTCTGCAAGTGGCCGTAGGAAACAAAGCTCTCCTCTTGCAGGCAGTGGCTAAGGGGCAAGTTTGCACAGTGCAGAACCACACAGACTGGGCAACATGCAAAACCAGAGTCATAGAATCATGGAATGGTTTGAGTTGGAAAGGACCTCAAGATCATCCAGTTCCAACCCCCTGCCGTGGGCAAGGACGCCTCCTATTAAACCAGGTCACCCAAGGCTCTGTCCAACCTGGCCTTGAGCACCACCAGGGATGGAGCATAATACCACCCCTCTGAGCACCCTGTGCCAGCGCCTCAGCACCCTCACAGGGAAGAGCTTCTGCCTTAGATCTAACCTGAATGTCCCCTGTTTCAGTTTGAACCCATCACCCCTTGTCCTATGACTCCAGTCCCTGATGAAGTCCCTCTCAAGCATCCTTGTAGGTCCTCAGGTGAGACAGGATGTACAGCGTGAGCAGGACCATGCTCTGTGTGCTACCCAAATACTGAGCGTTACCCGAAAGTGCCCCTCTTCATGGCTGTAAGCAAAAGAAGAGGCCCCTCGCAGCTGCAGTGCTGCCATTGAGCTTCTTACTTGACTCTAAGGATGTGTCTAACAAACCCTAACACACAACCAATGCGACAGTTTATAACTAGATTCAAACCCAAAAAGACCTACTAAGACCAACAGTACCCTGGTAGCTTCCCAGGCACGACTCAAGCACACCAACTAGTCTTCAGGGAGGCAGAGGAAGGTGAGGTGCATGACGGAAGAGATATGTGAGGGAGAGGATGCTGGAAGGGGAAGAACCTCCTCATCAGCCTTCAGGACCTCGGGGACTGCTCCAGCAGTCAGGAATAGAAGGAAAAATGACACCAAAGCAAGCATGGGCACAGAGGGACTGGTGGTAATGGATGGGAAGGACAGGGACCCTGGGGACACCCGAGCAGAGCAGTTGTGCCACATCCTCCAGGTGCCACCAGCCCAGGACGTCACCGCGGGGCTGTCAGCATCACTGTGCTCACCAGTGCCCTCCTCCAGCAGCGACACAAAAGCGTGGAGCTGATGCTCGTAGTCCAGGCTGGTCAGGTTGAAGGAAGTGGCCGGCACCTCGGTGGAGAAGCAGCCGTTCCTCCCGGTCTGAATGAGAGAGTCACCCGTGTTGGAATCACAGAACCACAGCATGGGTTGGGTTGGAAGGGACCTCAAAGCTCATCCAGCTCCAACCCCTGCCACGGGCAGGGACCCCTTCCACTGGAGCAGCTTGCTCCAAGCCCCTGTGTCCAACCTGGCCTTGAACACTGCCAGGGATGGGGCAGCCACAGCTTCTCTGGGCACCCTGTGGAGGCCACGAGGATGATCAGGGGCTGGAGCAGCTCCTGTATGAAGACAGGCTGAGGAAGTTGGGGCTGTTCAGCCTGGAGAAGAGAAGACTGCGTGGAGACCTCAGAGCAGCTTTCCAGTATCTGAAGGGGCCTATAGGGATGCTGGGGAGGGACTCTTCATTAGGGACTGTAGTGACAGGACAAGGGGTAACGGGTTAAAACTGAAACATGGGAAGTTCAGGTTAGATCTAAGGCAGTTCTCCCCTGTGAGGATGCTGAGGCACCGGCACAGGGTGCCCAGAGAAGCTGTGGCTGCCCCATCCCTGGCAGTGCTCAAGGCCAGGTTGGACGCAGGGGCTTGGAGCAAGCTGCTCTAGTGGAAGGGGTCCCTGCCCATGACAAGGGATTGAAACTAGAAGATCTTAAGGTCCTTTCCAACCCAAACTGCTCTATGATTCTCTAACTCTGGCTTTGAAGCAGTTTCACATGAGAGCCAGATGACCTCGTGATGCTCAGATGATGCACCCAGCCATCATCAGCCCAAGCACCCCAGAATGGAGAAAAACTGCTAGGACCAGCACCCATGTGCCTTCTCCCTCTCCTGGTGCTCTCACCTGACCCCTAAGCTCAGCACAGGTCATCGCAGGTGTGTTCAGGACAGCACCAAAGCTGTAGAACTGGCACAGCCTGGCCTCAGCTCTGCCTCGGAAGGTTTTCCCCGATGGGTACCTGTTGGGAGGGAGCAGGAAGGGGAGCAGATGGGGAAGATGAGAAGGGAGCATCCCCCCAGGAGCAGGCAGCTTTGCTGCTCTCCAACTCACAGCCCACAGACATCCAGTGGGATCTTCTCATCCTTTTCTGTCACAAAGCGGGGCAGCCGGATCAGCACTTCAAAGTTGGGCTGTCCTGGGGGGGAGAACGGGATTGTTCCCATTTCTTCCTTCCTCAGTTTCTTGCCATTCCATGAGATGGCTCCCAAAGAGCCTGCATGGAGCCCAGCCTGCATCCGCACGCACCGGAGTCCTTCACAGTGAATTGGTGAGAGCTGCCCTCCATGCTGATGGTGTAGGTGCCCAGGGCCGGCTCTGCACCCAGCGAGAAGGACAGGTCCACGATGCCCTGCTGCAGGCTCACCTCTCGCCACTCTGCCACAGGGTTCTTGTTGGGATCCTGCACATGGGGACGTGTGGCATCAGCTCATGGAGACAAAGACAGGGCAGGTGGGGTGAGAACCTCAAGGACTCGGGTCACCCTGGGTATCCTCGAAAGAAGCAGGGGTTTTGCCCTGACATCACACTCAGAGCATCCCTGGGGACATCACCTCTCCAAAAGGAAAATTCCCCACCCTGGGTGCTGTATTATCTGAGCTCCAGCCTGGTTACAGCAGCTGGAGCTGGCAGGGGGGTGCTCCAGCCTGGACTGGTTGCTCAGGGGATTCTCCAGTTGGGGTCAAAGTCCCTGTAGCAATAGCCATTGCCACCTTCTTTTGTGTAACCTCCCAGAGGACACCCTGTCTCGAAGGCAGGCAGAATCCTGACTCTTAGTGGGCTGGGAATCATAGAATCACACAGCCTGGTTTGTGTTGGAAGGGACCTTAAAGCCCATCCAGCTCCAACCCCTGACACAGGCAGGGACCCCTTCCACTGGAGCAGCTTGCTCCAAGCCCCTGTGTCCAACCTGGCCTTGAGCACTGCCAGGGATGGGGCAGCCACAGCTTCTCTGGGCAGCCTGTGCCAGCGCCTCAGCACCCTCACAGGGAAGAGCTTCTGCCTTAGATCTACCCAAGCCCTTATGCCTGCTCTCTGTAACTTCTCTCAACACCCGCAGCAAGGATGCTCCTTGTCCCCAGTATCACACACATGCTGGGGGCCCATTGCTCCTCCCAAGGGAGCCGACAGGCTGCCACAGGATGGCAACTCACCCACACGACCACCAAGAGAATCTGCAAAGAGAGAAAGAAGCATTTACCATGGTCAAAGTGCAGAGTTGAGCTCGTGCCTAAACCAGGGGCTGAGCCCCAATCCTGGTTTCCTGCAGCCCCTTCAGGCACTGGAGCTGCTCTCAGGTCTCCCCTTCAGGAGCCCTCTCCAGGCTGCCCCAGCCCAGCTCTCTCAGCCTGGCTCCAGAGCAGAGCTGCTCCAGCCCTCACAGCATCCCCATGGCCTCCTCTGGCCTCATCCAGCAGCTCCACATCCCTCTTGTGCAGCTGCCCCAGGGCTGGACCAGGACTGCAGGGGGGGTCACCCCAGAGCGCAGCAGAGGGGGAGAACCCCCTCTCACCATATCCCACATCCCTCCAGAGTTTTGGGGATTCCATCCCTGCATCCATCTCCTCCATACTCATGGAGACACTGAAGATTTTGCCACTGCTGCCAAGACCGATGGTCTCAGGCACATGGGGACACTACTGCCTCCAACCCCCGCCTCGTGCCCCAAGCCCATCTCACCTCTCTGTTGATGGCAATGAGGTTTTGATCCAAACAGACAATTCGGATCTTCACTGGAGAGAGCAAAGGCAGGAGAAGGAGTGAGCACTACAGCCTGGGACCCAAACCTGGGGATCCCATCCCAAGAGCCTGGGAGCTCTTCCAGCTCCTCCTGCCCCTCACCAGTTTGTCCGGGCTCGTAGACATCCTTGTCTGTCTGCACCAAGGCCCTCGGGTCCAGAGCTTTCACCACGACTTTCCTCTTCTCGGAGACCTGCAGGGAGCCTCCCTGGATGGAGATGTGCAGATCCGCAACGTGGTACATCCAGGCAGAAACAGTAGAAATCTGCCCACAGGGAAACACCAGAAATGGTTTCAAAGCCTTTATTTTGGATGCCAATGCGACACCAAACCTCACCATCACCACCCCGCTGACTCCTGAAGGCACCAGGGACCTGCTATGCATGGGAAGATGATGCTCCCAAGGTCCCCATACGTGCTCCATGTCCCTCCACTCTTCAGTTCACTCTTGGCCATCCAAATGGACCCCAGTCCCCTCCCCGTTCCCCCAGCCCGGCTATGGCAGAGGGGCTGCGACTCACGTTGGGGAAGCGGGGCCAGTTCAGCTGGAGGATCTCATTGCCCTGCTCCTCCAGGGTGACGTTGGGGACTCTGAGCTGGCTTGCCAGGTGCAGGGTCACCCGCACGGGCCCATCCAGGTCCATGAGGTGGATGTGCACTTTGCCCGGGTACGGGTAGTAGAGCGTGGAAGGGAAGAGCACCAGGTAGTGCCTGGAGAGGGGACACCTTGGCAGGGGAGGAGGCCACCAAATCCCAGTGCTCCCCTCTGCTCCAGACTCTCAAGGCAAAGGATGCTGGGGGTTCTCTAGCCCTGGATGCTCTCTGTAGGGCTACGCCACCCAGCCTTGCACCCATGCACCCATGGAGGCTGGCCAGAGCACAGACCAGAGCAGAGCCCACCCTGGGGGAGAGCTGCGGGGCTGATCCACAGGAGGAGGAAGGCTCTGCTCCTCCTCCAGCTTGGGTAAGAGGTGGCATCTGCACCAGCGCAGCCCAGAGACACCAACCCCAGGGACAAAGTCGTGTTATGGGGACAACCACCCCCCTGAACCACCCCAACCAGCCTCCACAGCCATGGCAAGCGCTGTCACACCACCGAGACCACCCGTCATCCGCAGGCATGGACAGGCAGACACGAGAGGGCTTACGGCTTTGCAGATGCTCCAGCTGTGAGGTACAGGGTGCAAAGCAGCAGGCAGGGCAGGGCGGCTGCAGATCCCATCCTTGGAAGACCAATAGAACAAGGTGGTCCCAGAGGCCTCGTGCTGGGTTTTCTTGCTCTCCTCAAGCTTTCATCTCCCTGCTGGCAGCAAACAAAAGCCAAGCGAGGTCTGTGTCTGGGACCCAGCCAGCCAGCCAGGACAATGTTTAACCACCAGACCCGAGCTTTGATGGGTTCAAGGCTCTGGGCAGCCAAACGCCACCCATAGTGGTGAGAGTGCTGAGTCAGCTCGGAGCTGATGGTCTGACTGCACACAGGGAGCACAGGAAATAACAGGTCCTTCTGGGAAGTGAGGTCTTCACATGTACGCTGCCCCTGACCGTGTCCATGGGACAGTTCTTGATCCAGCGAGTTGCTGCTCATGGGAAGCCTCTGTTGTGCTGCTCGGGTTGTCTGTCTGGGTGGATGATTGCCACGGCTTTGCAGAGGTTCCTCCATAATGAGCCAGGCACTCCGAGAGCAGGAATGGTGCCAACCTGTGCCCTTGTTTGCTCAGGGTTTGCACATCTTGTTTGAAGATGGGACGTGAAGGCTGCCCGCCCTGCAACCAGCACTGGGGACAGCCACGTGCTGCCTTTCCCCCTGCCCTACTGTCACCATAGGGTGGCTGCGACACCCTGCTGGGAAGGAGGCAGCCGATGCCTAGAGCCGTCCCTGGCTGCAGGGAACAGGCCAGGGCAGGTGGCAGATGATGGATGGGTCTGGTTGTGCCATGGTCTGGAGGCCATGGGGAGGTCCCTCCTGCTCATCCAGCTCCAACCCCTGCCACGGGCAGGGACCCCTTCCACTGGAGCAGCTTGCTCCAAGCCCCTGTGTCCAACCTGGCCTTGAACACTGCCAGGGATGGGGCAGCCACAGCTTCTCTGGGCACCCTGTGCCAGTGCCTCAGCACCCTCACAGGGAAGAGCTTCTGCCTAAGAGCTGACCTCAGTCTCCCTTCTTTCAGGTTCAAGCCATTCCCCTTGGCCTGTCCCTACATCCCTTGTCCCAAGCCCCTCTCCAGGTTTCCTGCAGCCCCTTCAGGCCCTGGAGCTGCTCTCAGGTCTCCCCTTCAGGAACCTTCTCTTCTCCAGGCTGCCCCAGCCCAGCTCTCTCAGCCTGGCTCCAGAGCAGAGCTGCTCCAGCCCTCAGAGAAGCTGTGGTGTCCATAGAGATGCTCCATGTGCAGTGATGCAGACACCCCACATGGCCATAAGGAGATGGATCCCCCTCCCCACACTCCCCTCAGCACTCGAGGCGCAGGCAGGATGCAGTGCACACACAGCACCAGGTATGGACTGTTTAATCTCACACCCTTGTCTCATAGTTCAGCATCGTGACAAGGTCCCCTGGACCTGCTGCTCCTCCCCAGGCCACGCACTGTGCTCTGGACCCCTCCTCAGAGCTTGCTGCCTCGGAGCAGCATCTCCAGTTTGCAGTAGCCTCTGGAAGAAGGAACCCAGCGAGCCCATGGGTGAACCCCACTGATTTTCACACCATCAGGGGTGGAAAACAGTGCAGTGAAGCCCCAGCCCTGCCTGGCACGTCTCTGTCCCCTTCCCAGTGTGCAGGCAGGAGCAATCCAGGCAGACAGGGCTTGTTACCTAGGACCAGACACAGCACCAAGCTGGAGGGAGGCAGGCAGTGCCCTAGGGAGGGGATGCACAGTCATAGCGAGTGGGTTTAGGGGCACCTTGCACTGGTTTTGGGGTGCTGCCCTGTCCCCGTGCTGCAGTGCTCTGCTTCCCTTTGCTCCAGGCTGCTGGGGCAGTGGCAGGTCTGGTGGACACATCCACAGGAGACAAGGGGACAGCAGGCTCTGGCTGTGCCGCCTCCCTCGCGGCCCCGAGGGGGTTGATCCATGTGCCTAATTGCTGGTCCCAGTTGTGTTCTCCTCGCACTGGGGGCTGCCCGTCCCCCTGCCAGCCCCAGCCCTGGCCCCAGCGCAGTGCGGGCGCGGTGGATGCTCAGCACTCTGGTCCCCACAGCAGCTCGCAGACATCTCAGCAAAAGCATCAGCCATGGCCTGGCGGACAGTCTCGGTCAGTTTGGGGACATCCGTGGAGCTCAGGCCCTGGGTTTCCACCTTGGGGAGGATTTGGATGGTGCACGTCCCTGGATAGAGAAGGGGAAGACCAGGGGTGCTGTCAGATGAACCTACTGGGAAGCAGGTCTCCCCACCAGCCTCAATGCTTCACAGAGGCCTCCAAGCTGCACATCCCTCATCCCTACAACAGCCCTGACCACCTTCCAGCAATGGGGCTTCTTGTCCATCACTCACCAGAGGTGAATTTCTTTTCCTTGGAGCTGAAGAAGTCCCAGTACGGGGAGAACACGATGGGGAAAATGGGAACCTGTAGGACACGGAGCATGAGGGGTGTCCATCACACAGACCCCCTCCAGCTCCTGACGTGGCCCAGGCTTCAGCAGGTCCCTCACAGGGTGTCTGTCCCTGGGGACTGCAGAACCCAGAAGAGCCTCATGTCCCCCATCCCGCTGCCCCAGGGTGCATGTTCCCCCGCTCCATCAAGGGCAAGCGGAGGGGAAGGTTGGCCTCACCTGAGCCTGCACAGCCAAGTGGAAAGCCCCACGCTTGAAGGGCAGCATGGATTTGTCCTGGTTCCTGGTGCCTTCAGGGAAAATCCACACTCGGAGCTGCACAGGACAGGGGCAGATGTGAGCATGGGCCCAACCCAGTCACCCTGGAAACCCGCTTGCCCCATTGGTGCTTGCTCCCCCCCTTGCTCCCTCACCTTTTCACGCCGCATGGTCCTGGCTGTCTGGGAGATGACGTTGATGGCATCTTCCGTCTTACAGCGGTCGATGAAGATGATGCCACTGAGCCAGCAGGCCCACCCCACCGTGCCCATGTATAGGAGCTCCTTCTTGGCCATGGGCACACAGCCGTCAGGGATGACCTCCACCATGCCTGGAGGATGGATGGGAGAGGAAAGGATCTGTCCATGCCCAATGGCTCCCAGCACCAACCAGCCCTGTGGCTGCAGTGACCTGGTATCATCCTCCATTGGCCCAACCCTCTTCTGTAGCACACCCATAGCCCTGAGCTCCTGTCCCACCACCTCTTCTGGTTTATGCCTACCACACTGCTCTGTTCAAACCCTGGTCCTGGCCTCTCTGGGACCCCAAAGGGTGAGCCTGGTCCACGCCTGCAGCACCCCAAAAGCTGCCTATGCATGTGCTGAGCCTCCAATCTCCCTTGCACGTACCCATGAGGTCAAGGGCAGCTTGGTGGTTGGAAACGATCACGTAGGGCTCCTCGGTGTTCAGGTGCTCCAAGCCCCACACCTGCATCTTGATGCCATACAAGTGTTTGAGGGGCAGGATCGCAGCACGCAGGAGCCTAGGGCAGAGGAACACACACTGGGAGCAGATCACACAGAGTGGAGCTGTGATGCTTTCCCACTCAGGCAGCAAAGCCCAAGATGGGCCAGGCTAGATGTGGTCTGAATGAGCATAGACTGTGTCAGTCTGTACTCAGTCTTTGCTTTTCTAAGCACATTTATAGCCTGCGTAGCTCAGAGCTAACCTTGTAACATGGTTTAGTGTGAGGTGTCCCTGCCCATGGCAGGGGGGTTGGAACTGGATGATCTTAAGGTCCTTTCCAACCCAAACTATTCTATGATTCTATAACCACCCCCAAGGAGAGACCAGCTGCTGTCTGTAGTAGAAAGTCTGCATTGGAGCTGCTGATAAGGAAGAGCAGCCAACACAAGGGAGAAGAACAGACTTCCTGATGCCCAGGGATGATAGGAAAGCAAGAAGGGAAGGGAAGGGAAGGGAAGGGAAGGGAAGGGAAGGGAAGGGAAGGGAAGGGAAGGGAAGGGAAGGGAAGGGAAGGGAAGGGAAGGGAAGGGAAGGGAAGGGAAGGGAAGGGAAGGGAAGGGAAGGGAAGGGAAGGGAAGGGAAGGGAAGGGAAGGGAAGGGAAGGGAAGGGAAGGGAAGGGAAGGGAAGGGAAGGGAAGGGAAGGGAAGGGAAGGGGTGCCTGCAGCCAAGGTGCAAACCATCACATCCCAGTGAGGACCACAGTCTTTGCCCTAAGCTTTACCCTGAGGCTCACCCAGTGTACAGCTGGAAACCCAGACACCAGCACTGCAGACACATAGAGCCAGAGGAGCTGGATAGCAACCAAGGGGGGCTGAGCTGTAGCTGGATGAGGTCTGGATAGGACAAGAGGAAACGGCCTCAAGCTGCACCAGGGCAGGTTTAGATGGAGCTGAGGAACAATTCCTGCCCCAGAGGGTGCTCAGGCATTGGAACAGGCTGCCCAGGGCAGGGCTGCAGTCACCGGCCCTGCAAGTGTTCGCACCCCGTGGAGACGAGGCCTCAGTGCCATGGGGCAGTGGTGGCCTTGGCAGTGCTGGGGAACGACTGGACTTAATGATCTTCAAGGTGTTTTCCAGCCTGGTTGATTCCATGACTGTATGAAGGTGGACATGCAGAGGAACAGTCTAGATGGTTTTACAGGGATATGGATGTCTCCGTGGACTGTCCCAGCAGAGCAGGCAAAGGGCAGCACCGTGGGCACCAAGCTTTGTGCTGCAGGTGGAGGGGGAAGAAAGCAGGGAAGGGGAAACCAATTCTGCTTCATTCTGCAGAGGAAATCATAGATAACAGCTTCACTGGACCTGCAGCGTCGGGAAGAGATGGACCTCCCATCTGTGCAGATGGAAGGAGGAACAAGGAAGAGCAGTGTCCCCATCCAGAGAGGGTTGGACCGGATGGCAGAGCTGATGAAGGGCGACACTCACACATATGAGGGTAACAAAAGGAACGGAAGGAGGATGAAGCAACAGGGATTGCGGCACCCACAGTGGAGATAAAGAGCTGGCACGCTTTTGGCATCGAAATGGGGCACTCTCCAACTCATGGCACCAAGAGCATTCATGCCAAGAGCCACACAGCTGGCAGTGACTGCTTCCGGGGAGCCCACAGAGCCCCTGTGGGGTCCCCGGGAGCAGTCACTCAGCACCAGGGAGGGATGAGAAGAAGCTTAGGAGGGGAGAGTAGAGGTAGGCACATAGGAAGAAGGAGACATGATGTTTAGAGGGTCCATTGTATCAGCAGAACACCTATCCCTTGGGAGATGCAGGCTCAGAGATCTGTGTCTGCAGAGAAGCAAAACACTTCTGGCAATGCCCCAAAGCCAGG